GTCAGCAGGGGTCAGCAGGCAGAGGGTTCCAGTCACAGGGCCTGGGCCTATCAGGAAGCATGACCAGAGACCTGGCAGGTGGCCTGGGTTGAGGGGTACATGGGGGGCGTCCAGGGGGAGGTCATAGGGTGGGGGAGCATGGGGGGTCCTGGGAAGGGAGGCCAAGTCCCTCCCCCCATGCTGGACCACTTCCTTTTTCCCTGTCACTTGCACTTCCCACTCACTGCAGTGACCTTGGCTTGGGGGAGTGGGGGCTGGGCCTCCCTGGACCCGGGCCCTTCCCATGCAGGGATCTTCCTAGGGCCTCCTGCTTCCTGGGGTCCCCTCACTGGGACCTGCCCCTGTGGGGCACAGGGAGGGACCCAGGCCTGGGTGAGGACGGGCTCCCACACAGCCTGCCCCTGGAGGGGAAGTGGCTTGCCTGGGATCACTTACAGCTGCACGGGGCTTTGGCCAGTCTGCTGACCTCTTTGGGGATCATGGGATAGCCACACAGCAGCCCATGAGCCGCCCTCGCAGCCCCTCTTCCTGACACAAGGAGGGGGTGCTCCCAGCCCACCTCCAGGTGAGCTGCCTGCTGGGTGGAGGCCAGAGGAGCCTGGCTCAGCTCCCTCCCTGACACAGGCCGCCTGGCAGCAATCAGGGCCCCTGCACAGGAGCTCAGCGGGGGTGCACACACTGAGGCATCTGCCAGCCCTACGCGGGCACACTGTCCTTTCTCCTGCAGCACCTCTCGGGTGACACTTCAGCCCTGTCCAACACCTGCTCCATGCCTCCAGCCCTGGCAGCACAGTGGCCCTGCTCTTCAAAAAACGACGCCATTTCTGGGAAAACAGCCGCGGCTGCCACGTGTGGGTGCGCTCTGGGGCCTCCCATTGACATAGGCAGGGGCTCCCCCGGAACTGTCCACATAACCAGGGCTGGGAGGGGAGGGAGGCAGACTTCCCCAGACCACACAGGGCCCTCAGAGGAGGAAGGCATGGTGGTGCTGGCAGGGAAGCTCCTCAGAGCCTCCCCGTGGGTTGGCCGTCCCCAACCTACCCGCTCCTTCCACGTCACCACCAGCCAGGCAAGTGCGGTCACAGAATGATTCCCGCTGCTGCCCAGCACTCAGAAGCAAAATCATGGATTTTCTGTCTTCCAGGATTGGAGACTCCCACGCTGGGTGGCGAGGGGGGAAGGGTCCATCCACAAGCCTTGGGTTCAGGGCTGGCGTGGCACCTGCCTCCTACCCACACTGCTGCACTGCCCTCCCTGCCTCTGACCCACCTCCCCACGGGGGAGGGCTGCATGGAACTGCAGGCTCCGGCCAGCCTGGCCACTTGGGGATGAATCAGCAGATGCAAGATCTCCGAGTCTTTCAAGTCAGCAAGTCAAACAATATTGAAAGTCTAAGACTTCTCTGCAGTTTTATCCGGTGAGGAGTCAGGAAGGGATGCTTGCGCTCCCGGCCCGCGGTCCCCAGGTCCACTGTCCTGCGGGCAGCTGTTGGCATCTGGTGAGGGTGGTGGGAAGGGGCAGGGGTCAGACTCTGAGTCTGCACCTTAGAGCCTGCTTGAACCTGATTTTGACCATGTCGTTTCACCTTGAAGTGAGACAGACACGCAGTGAAGCAGCCCAGGACAGAGGTGGGAGCCCTCGTGCAGCTGGACGGCCCGCCACCCGAGGACGGCACATCCTGGCAGCGGAGTGGCCGGGGCGGTGTCCCACACCCGAGTTTCAGTTCCTTTCAAGGGTGTCACAACAGCAGAGGACCCAGGAAGCAGGACATGGTGCTGACAGCCCTCAGCCTAGCTTCCCCAACAGTGTGGGCTCTGGGCATGTGCCCCCAGCAGCCACTGCCGTGTCTTGTAACAGTAGCTGGCACAGCCCTCTGCCCAGCTTTTCCAGGAGGCTGGCAGGGACCTGGGCAGGCCAGTTCCCATGGCCTGCCTTAGTTTCCCAAGGAGCAAACGAGGGAGGTCTCCATGACAGGCCATCTGGCTCGACAACCCCCAGCACTTGGGAAGTAGTAAGACATAGTTCCCTCTGAAAGGGCACTTGTGGCTGTTTCGTCCCCATCGTGCTCATACTGAGATGAGCTCATTGTTTTCAGAGCTGTGAGGACCATGTGGGCGACACGGAGACGGGGAATTCTGCAGCTCGTGGGGTGGATCTGGCAGATGGGATAGGAGGAGAGTTTCTTTAAAAAAAAAAATTTTATTTTTATTGCAACATCAGATATACAGAGAGGAGGAGAGACAGAGAGAAAGATCTTCTGTCCACTGATTCACTCCCCAAAGTGACCCCAAAGTGCCGGAGCTGAGCCGATCTGAAGCCAGGAGCCAGGAACCTCTTCTGGGTCTCCCACGTGGGTGCAGGGTCCCAAGGCCTTGGGTGGTCCTCGACTGCTTTCCCAGGCCACAGGCAGGGAGCTGGATGGGAAGCAGGACCACTGGAATTAGAACTGGCACCCATACGGGATCCTGGTGTGTGCAAGAAGAGGACTTTAGCCACTAGGTTACTGTGCCAAGCCTAGGAAGGGATTTCTGAGCCTGGGATGGGCGAGGGCCTGTGTTTCTAACCAGCAGGAAGCAGCTACAGAAATTGTGACTCCACATCCTTCAGCAAACCTTGAGATACAGGTTGGAAATCTGAAGGGTAAAGGCTGTAGTCCAAGGCAGCTTAGGGTCACCAGCCTGGAAGCCTCGCTGTCCTCAGCTGTGTGACCCTCTCTGTCCACTGTGAGTCAGATGACGCCCACCCATCATCAGCTGGAGCCTGAGGGGCAGGAATGAGCGTAGCCACTGCTCTCCCAAGCCGACGGGGCGTGTACTCCTGCGGACAGACTCCAAGGACAGAGCAGGCCGCCCTTCTCACCCTTTCCCTCCCGGCCCACTCTGTTGGAACACAGCCCACGTATGCATTCCTCACCCTGTGGGTGCACTCCCACTTGCTCACGCCGAGTCAGTGTCTCTGCGTAGAATAGTTTTTACAGGCAAGGACCAAGAACCTAGGAAGTAAGGATTTGGCCCAAAACCTAGACGACAACCCTGGGACACTCAGCGCTGTCGGCTTTTCCTGAGCTCGACACTGATGTCCCTTCTCCTGCCACAGGCACACACGTGTGAACATGCATGTGGGCACACACGGACATGCACATGTGGAGACACTGAGACACAAACATAGGCATGAGAACATACGTGGTACATATACCACACACGGACACGCACGTAGACCCACACCTGTGCATGCACATGGGACATACAGACACACACCAAGTGGGCACACACACAGCAGGCACACGGGCACACACAGTGAACACACGTGGACACACCGCAGGTAAACACAGATGGCATACAGACACACATGAACACACATGCACACTGGGCACACAGTGGACACACACAGTTCCTCTGGCATCTGCCCTCAGAATCTGCACTGGCCTCCCAGCAGGGCCTGACTGGAGCTCCAGAATATTCTCTGAGTAGGCCTGTCTGAAGACCCCCAGGTGTGGGACAGAGAGCAGGGCCGCCCCCAGGATACAGGGGCCCTGGAGGAGGCCAAGGCAGTGCTGAAGGGGGCGAGCAGCACCCTCATTAAGCCTCTGGAAAGCAGAGGCCTTGAGAGACGCAACCCTTGTGCAGGACTCACATAGACCCCTCCACACTCCTGCTTGCCTGGGAGCCAGGACCAGGGGATCTGGGAGGGGAGGGGGCAGGGACTCAAAGCAGGGACTCTGGGGAGAAGCTGGCCCAGATGGAGGCCAAGGACTCCAGGTTCTGCCCAGCTGACCTGCGATTCTTACCCAGCCCACTGGAGGCACCAGAGGGGCAGGGAGCAGGTAGGCCTGTCCTCAGCCTTCCCAGAAAGAGTGTTGGCTGACACCCTGAACCCCTGCTGATAAAGGCACTCCCTGGGGGCCTCTGTCTTTCTGGGCACAAGGACCACCCAGTGGCTTCAGCTCTCCCAGCCCGGCCTCTCCCAGCCCCTCCACTTCCTCATTCCTTCTCCATCAACCTCACCCAGGGAGCTCTGCCTACCCCACCAAGCCAGCCCTGCCCTGGCATCTAGCCCTGGCCTTGGAAGGAATACTGCCCTGCCACCTGTTCCTGGAGGAGTGTAAGGACCCCAGGACCCTAGCCAACTCAGGCTCAACTCTGCCCAGTTCTGGTGCAGGGCACAGGCCAGCCTGGCCAGGGCACAGGACACAGGGTGCGGGCCAGTCTGGAAGGGGCACAGGGCACAGGGCGCAGGGCGCAGGCCAGCCTGGCCGGAGAGTACCGCCTGCCTGGCCATACCGTGGCCCAGCCTCAAATCTTACTCAGTTGTCTCTTGGACTATGATCTACCTGCTGTTATCTGGCCCCCACTCTGGCCTAGGTCAGGGACAGGCAGCAGGGCCTGCAGTGTTGGGGTACCAGGGGAGCCTCCATCACCACCTGCCTCAGTTTCCTCCTGGAAATCTCCTCATCTTGATTTACAGCCTTCTCGGAAACCCCGGGATTGCCAAAGCAAACATGCAAATGTTTCCCAGCAGCCACATGTGGTTACAGCCAAGTGCCGGTGCCAGCTCCCCTGGGTAGAAGGGGGATTACAGGTGCAACCCAGAATTCTCCTGGAAGCCCCACACTGAGCCCTGAGGTCACCGTGACTTAGACCCCCCACCAGCGTCGGAACAAGCCCAGGTGTCTTCCGCCTGCCCTGGGGTGGGGGGATGCAGCAGCAGCAGCAGCAGCAGCGCCCTCTGCCACCCGCAGGCCCGGCTTGAGGCTGTCTTCCGTTTCACACTGAGCCGGAAGGGGTCCCTCAGTGGAGCCCCCGGGCTCTATCCCTCTTTTAGAGACACGGCTGAAGTTCACACTTGTTTTATAAATAAATATTCTGTGGGCGCTCAGCCTGGGGTTGGGGATGCCCTGCCCACTCCCCCACAAAGGCTTGAGTGTCCTGGCACTCCTGGCATGCTGGGCAGCTGGCAGGGGACGGCCCCTCCCCCGGGGCTCCCGGCAGCGGTGGGGGAGGGGCGGGACACTAGAGGCAGGTGATAAGCACGTCCACGGAGGTGGGCACCTCGATCTGGTCGAAGAGCGTGCGGCGCGGGGGCACCTGGGCTGCGGCCCTCAGCAGGCTCTGTGCATGTTGCAGCAGGCTGTGGTTACGCCGGGACCCCAGGCGGCGCAATGCCAGGATGGCCAGGACATGATCCCGCCTGTGGGGACAGGCGCCAGCTCAGGATGGGCCCACGGAGGAGGGGAGAGGGGTGGGAAACGGGCCCCGCGGGAGCGGCAGACTAGCTAGATCCCAGAGTGGAGGTCGCAGGCTGACCAAGCTGGGGAAGCCTAGGCGCCCCAAGAAAAGGCCAGATGCAGCCAGTCTGGGAGTGTGCGGCCGGGGACTCTGCATTCGGTAATCTCCAAGGTCACGGAAATTGGATGTGGGATTTCCATGGCCTGCAATGACTTGCGGTCCCCAACAGCCCATGGATCCCAGCCGCCAGCCTGCCCCGACTGCAGCGGGGGTTGGTTGTGCCTGCCCTCTGGGAATCCTGTCCTGTGAACCAAGCCACACGGCCCCTGCTGTAGGGGCAGCCTCCAACCCCCTCGCCGTGTACCTGGCTGGGGCTGGCCCCAAGTCCTCCCTCCATCACCCAGCCACAGCCCACTGACTGCAGGGGACCGACTGCCCAGCCCACACACCTGATGTCGGGGTAGGACTGGATGAGGGTGTCCAGGTGCCTCTGGATGTCGTCCTTATAGGTCTCGCCCATGATTTCAGCCACACACGGGATGGCTTGGTCCAGCCATGCGGCCTGGGAGCCCTGTGGGCCCAGGGAGACACGCACAAGTGTGCAGGCCGCCCACGCACCCCTTGCACCCTCGCAGGCCTCCTGCCACTGGGCGCCAATGACTCAAGCACCCTGAGCACTGAGCGGAAACACACTGAGAGTGAGGGCCAGCAGCTCAGAAGGGGTGGAGTGTAGCAGCGCCCCGTCCCAAGGGCACGTGCTCTGGGGGTACTGGGTGGACATCTTGCAAGCAAAGACCCTCACAAAGATCTCCTGCACACCACTCATTACCCCGCCCACCGTATGCAAATGTATGCAAATTTACACACCAGGCCCCCTCTCCACCTGCACCCCCGCAGCCCAGCCAGTCAGGGACAGCTGGCAATGAGCACTGCCTCACCAAGCCCCGGAAGGTGTCGCTGATGGCCTGGGCATCCAGACTCATCTTCTGGGAGGCACTGACACGTTCGCCGCCCCGGAATCGCTCGCGTGGCCTCAGCACCTGGGCCAGGTACTCGCGGACCACCAGGCGGTGGATGTCCTGCAGCACTTCCTGGGCAGGTGCGGGTGGGTCAGGGGTGGGGAGCCCCCAGCCCTGAGCACTCCCAGCTCATGCCTGCCCTCCACTTACCTGCGACTGTGGTGGGACCACATGCTCAAGGTGGCCAGCGAAGGCCACCACCCTGTCCATGAGGGGCTGCAGAGTGTCCTGGGTCAGCCAGTCTTTGGTGCACACAGCCTTGAAGAGCAGCTGGAACAGAGGGCCATGGGCGACTTCACTCCGAGCGCTCCTCTCCCTGGCCGCCTGGGTGGCCACTGCTGACCCCTTCTGTCCTGGGGTTCCTGGGCCTGCCCCTGGCCAGCCAGAGTATATCGCTAGGGCCTCTCCTACAAGGTCTCCTTCAGGCCTGGCTCTGGGGGCAGGGGTCCAGCCAGGCCCTGGATCAGGCTTGAGGGTGAAGGAGGGTGTCAGATGGGCGACCTGGCCCTGGCCCAGGCTTGGGAGCTGACCCCCTAGAAAGGGGGGCTGAAGTGAGGGCCGTCCGGTCTCACCTGGTAGAGGACTCCCCTCTGTCCCACTGCCATTGACACTCGGACTTCTGACCCCAGCCCTAGGACCCCTTGGCCATGGCTGGGACAGCAGGGGAGGGAGGAAGGCCGCCCAGGCACCTGCACATCCTGCTGAAAGACTTGGGTCAGGTGTTCCTGCAAGTTGCACGTGATGGCCTCCAGTGGCTGCCTGAGCTCCTCCAGGGCTCCTGGGAACTTGGCCAGAAGGTTCGCACTGGGGGCCAGGAAACACACCGAGGTGGGTGAGGGTGGCAGGCTGGGGGCCGAGCCCTCAGACCACAGTGGCCACCCTCTGCATCCGGCTAAGCCTGGTCGACTGTCAGAGAGGGGTGCCCTGGCTCCAGGGCAGCACGAACAGGGCCTCTTCCCTTGTGGCAATGGGAGCTGGTACACAAGCAGGCCTGGCATGTGCCCTCCAAGGAGTCCCCCCCCCCATGGTGGTGGCTTCCCCTGGTCACACTGAGGGAAAGAAGGGCCAGGCTGTGCTCAGGGACACAGCGGAGCCGAGGTCCCTGGAGGAGCTGAGCTGAGGGCTGCCTCCGCAGGGACACAGGATGCTCCCCAGAGGCCACAGGCTGACCAGCCTGGCCCATTCTTCGGGCACAAGAGAGTTGGGACAGCAGCACTTGGTTACCGCCAGGCTGCGGACACTGCGGACACCCAGCCATGCAGTCTGGGCCTTCGCTTTCCCAGTCCTGTGCTGACACAGGGACTGGCGCGCACAGAAGTCCTTGAAGGCCCTGAACCCCATGGCCCCAGCAAGCAGGTGCCAAGGACGAGAAAGCCGAAAAGAAGCCCAAAGCAGTGGGCATGCCAGGGCAACGGAAGCCCCGCCCTCACGCCTTCCGGGTGGCGGTGGGGACTGGGTAGGGGCAGCCGGCCGAGTCCAGCTCCGCCTGGCCTCGCTCCTCGCCAACACTGCCCCGACCGCGGCGCCCCTGGAGCGCGCTCGCCCTCTGCTGGCCTGCCCGGGCACGCCGTCGGGGCGGGCAGCCAGGGACCCACCTTATCTCCACGCAGGCGTTAATGTAGGCGCCCAGATGCGGCTCCCGCATGGCTGGCGACTCCAGAAAGGCCTTCTCAAACCTGGGGACGGCGCAGGCAGAGGCCTTGAGGGCCCTTCTCGGCCGCGCAGGGACCCGACCCGTCTATTCCACCCTGCCCGGCCAAGGTTGAGCCCGCACCTGCGAAGGAAGCAGCCGAGTGCCCGCGCGCAAATTTGCAGGGTGGTGGCCTCCAGCTGCGGTGAGATGGCGCTGTTTGCCTTCACACGCTCCGCCACGAGCTGCGGGCAGTGCCACACGCTGAGCCCGCAGCCGTCGGGATCCACCCCCGCCACACCTCCAGCCTGCCCCAGCCTGGGGGTTCCCCGTGTCCCCTGTGTCCCCGGGGCTGTCTCGGTCCTCCCTACCTATGGCACCTGGGGGATAAGGATCTTAGCCAAGGTGCCAAGCATGAGCCCCGCCCCGCCCCTGCGGGCCGCACCATGTGGACATCGATGGACAACTGCGTGTGGTACAGGCCTTGCAGGACCTCGGGGGCACCAGTGGGCGTCCACTGGCTCTGCTCCAGCTCCAGGATGCGGTCAAAGCAGCTGGTGATCTTGTTCTGGGGGCAAGAGGTGCACTGAGAGGTTGGCTGGCAGCAGAGGTCCCGTGCCATGCCCTTCAGGACAAAGCCCACCTGGCAGGCTGAGCCACCAGCCTCCCTGCCCACTGCCACCCTGGATCACCTCCAGGAAGTTGGTGTAGTCGCTCTCCAGTTCGGCCCACACCTGGGGCTCTAGGAGCGGGGGCAGCGGCTCAGTGGGCAATGCCAGGTCCGGGGTTTCCAGGAAGTTGGGACTGGAAGGCAGGGCAGGGCTCTGGAGGGCAGTGCCACCTGCCCTGCTCTGGCCAGGTCTGCAGACTAGGGGACCTGGGCCTTGGTTCCCATGTCCACCCCCCAAGGAGCCTGCCACAGCATCTGGATCCCTGGAATTCCAGCCGCTAGCTGCACACGCAGACCTGGCCAGGCAGTCCTCCGGAGGACCTCAACCCTCGTCATTCCCAGGGCACCCCTAGTGTCTTCCCCCTTGGCACTGCCCAGCACCCAGCCCAGAGAGGGGCAGGCTCAGTAGAGGGGGGCACACAGCACTGGGGGCCTCAGGATGGGGTCCCTGTCACACGGTAAAGGGTGGGGCAAGGTCCCAGCAGGCTGCCCCTTGCCCCTCCTTTGACGTGGCCCCGGTTCCAGCAAGCACTGTGAACCCTGGGCGCATCTCATGCAAAAAGCTTGGCTTCTCTTCTCTGCCCACTGGCACCTCGTGGGCCAGCGCAGGGCATTCCCCGTGCCTCCTCCACCTTCCAGCAACCAGAAGCCACACGCATGGATGAAAAGCTGCAGCCAAAGCACACCTGGTCCTGAGCCAGGCAAGGATGCTAGCGGCTAGCTCTTCCCCGGGGGGTTAGGGGCTGCCTCCACCTTGCCTGGCAAGCAGCGAAAGCCCCTGCGCGCGGCCGGCCTCACCTGCCATAGACGTTGGCCGCCCAGTCCAGCACCAGGTAGAGCTGCTCGCCGCCACGGGCATGGCCCGCCAGCTCCTGCAGGCGCTGGGCCACGGCCCCATGGAAGGCTCGCAGGTAGGTCTCCCATGCTGGAAGGCCAGCGGCCGCGTATGCGGGTTGCACCTCCAGCCGCACCTTGTGCAGGTCCTGGCGGACCAAATTGCCGAGGTCCGCCAGCAGCTGGGCCAGCCCTGATGTGGCCCCCACACCCGCGGCCTGCACGCGCTCCCGGACGCTGCGCTGCACCGCGTCCTCCCAGTGGCTGCGCCAGTGACGGGGCGTGAGCAGGAAGTTGCCATCGGGCGGGGGCTCCGGGTGGGCCTGTTCCTCGGCACATACCACATGTGCCAGCTCGCCCAGGGTGGCCGCGTCCACCCCTTCGGGCCCCAGCGTATCCTTCACGATGGAGGACATCTCGGCTGCCAGGCCGTCATAGTGCAAGCACAGGTCCATGGCGCGCCGCGCGTAGGCCGTGGGGTCCTGCCCGAAGCTGCCCAAGGTTTTTTCGTGTTCCAGCTGCTTCTCCAGGCGCTGCAGCTGCTCGAAGGCAGCCCGCAGTTCCCGCTGGGTGATGAGGTCGGCCACAGATTTGTCTTCTGCAAGAGCAGGTGGGAGGAACAGCCAGTTCAGGACCGGCTCAGAGCTGGAAGCTGGGGAGAGGCATCCACCCCCTAGGGCCAGGAGCCTGGCCTGGAGGGAAGATCCCTGCGCTGGCCCCACCTCCAGCTCTCCCAGCTGCACCTGTGGCCTCCTGGGCCTGATAGCAAGTCTAATGGGGTCAGAGCTCAGGTCCCATGTGTCCAAGGGAGTTCAGGGGCCAACAGCAACGTGGCTGCTGGCTTCCTGCTCTCCCTCCACTACACCCTGTGACCGTGGAACCTGCATCTGCAGTGGCTTCCCCCACACTCTGTGACCATGCGATCCGAGACAGCTGTGGTCTGGCATGTGGCTCTGCTGTGGTCAGGAGCCGGGCTCCTAAAAGCAGCAGAGGGGTTGTGGTTCTGGGACCCCTTCATACATGCTGGGAGACTGCAGGCAGGTGGCCCAACCTCCTGGCTCCTCACCTGTTTGGGATCCTGGCTCCTCCAGGCCAACCCCAGTGGATGCCTGCTGGCGGGCATCTGGTGGGGCCCTTGAGGGCTCCTCTGGCGTGCCGGCGACCAGGGCCCGCCTGGTGGCTGAGCGCTCCTCCTGGGTGTACCGTAAAGACCGGAACAGGGAGCTCCTCCGGGGCCGGCCAGCGTCCTCCTTGGTGGGCAGCGTGCCAGCCCGCAGGCTTCTCCGCAGGAAAGCCTGCCTCAGGGTGCCCAGGCCCAGCTTCATGGAATCATCCGTGTGGTCGCTGAGCCTGCCCTGAGTGGGGGTCTGAGGCTCGGCAGGATGCTTGGAGCCTCCCGGCTCTAGCCCAGGGGTCACTGTCCTCGGCGAAGGCATCTTGGCAGCAGGGCACTATGGGAGAGGGAGTAGGTAGGGTGCTGGGGAGGCCCAGTGTGTGCCCAGCACGCCCAGGGGCCAGCAGGGTGCTGGGGAGGCCCAGTGTGTGCCCAGCACGCCCAGGGGCCAGCAGGGTGCTGGGGAGGCCCAGTGTGTGCCCAGCACGCCCAGGGGCCAGCAGGGTGCTGGGGAGGCCCAGCGTGTGCCCAGCACGCCCAGGGGCCAGCAGGGTGCTAGGGAGGCCCAGTGTGTGCCCAGCACGCCCAGGGGCCAGCAGGGTGCTGGGGAGGCCCAGCATGTGCCAGCCTTTCCCGTCAGAGCTGGAGTGGGGGTGAAGACACAGACACTTGGGCCCAGCCCCCCATGCCCATTGGTGGGGACTGGGACCCACACAGAGGATTTTCTGGACTTTAGGTCACCCACTCTGAGCTCCCCTCAAAGTCCCCACTCACACTGCAGCACCTTAGTTCAGCCCCTGAAGCCTAGCCAGGCTGCTCACAGGGGCCCCTTCAGTAGGTACTAGAGTGTGAGGGATGGCTGTGAGACTTGAAAGTGCCAGTCAGGGCCACTTATCATGGCCCCACAGCCGGCTAGGGAGCCAGCGGGAGGAGCTGGGGTCTATATTTAGCTGCAGGAATTGGGGGTTCCCAACACTTGTCACCCAGTTTATCTCCACAACAGGGAGTGGGGAGGGGCTACCGCAGGGTCCCTCACCCCCCTCCAGCCTGTGCTGCTGTATTTGCTTTCCTGGCTATGGACTAAGCTGGGGGGCGTAGGGGGCAGAGGGGCAGAGCTTTGCCCGCCCACAGCTGGCTGAGCAAACAGGGCATGGGTCATGGATGGCTGCAGGCCCACAAGGGCTCACTTTACACCCGCCCCCGCCACCCACCCAGGGCACTGAAGTCAGAAAAAGGTGTGGATGGGCTAGGGTCCTAGCCAGACCAGAGGCAGAGCCCCCGGCCCACCTCTAAGGGCTCCGCAGGGGCCAGCACCTAAGCCTGGGTGACTGAGGCAGGAACTGACTTTCCCCCACCCAGGGCTTGCCTGGGCTAGAAGGAACCCTCCCCCTCTCTCTCCCCCTGCCCCTTGTACTCCCCCTGCAGACAGGTGTCAATGCAGGGTCACCTAGGCACCCTCTTTCTGTCCTGGGACAGGCAGGACAGGCTCAAGTAATTGATGGGGCCCTTATCGGTCCCGCCCTGGCCACAGGTCATTGGCACTCATGTGAGGTTCAGGGACCCTGCCTGACTCAGCCCCTCCCCAGCAGCCCTTCTGTGAGCTCTGGGCTCCCTGTCTGGTGGGAAGAGGGTAGGCGTGCATGGGCTGAGAGCCCAGCCCCTGACACAGGTCAGATCCCCCAGCACAGTCAAGCAGAGAGATACCTGGTCTTTCCCCTGTCCCAGACCAGGAGCCTGGGGTTCCAGGCAGGTGAGGCTGATCTGGGGACCCCTCAGCCCTCCTTCTAAGAAGGCTAAGGCAGACATGGGGGCACAGTGGGAGGGGGGCTGATAATCCCCTGGGAAGCCCAGAGGCAAACTGTGGGGTACACAGGGACCACTGGGCAGAAGCCACTCCTGGCCTTTCGCAGTCCACATGGGTCCTTACATGGCCCCCACCACCCTTCTCCCCCAGAGCCTAGCAGTCAAAGATTCCTGCAATGGCTGGGCTCCAGCTGCACCCCTGCACCCTAACTCTCCAGTCTTTCAGTTGCCCAGGCTGTTCCCCCTCCTGGCCTAGCCTTCTTGGCTCTCCACATCTGACTCGGGTTCCAGCTAACTCACACATGTTCCCCCACCTGTCTGCCCTGTAGGCACGTGGGATGATCCGTGGGGTGGTGGTGGGGTACCTGGAGTGCAACCTGAAAGAGTTGGGGGAGGCCTGAAATGGTCACCAACACGTACCTCCCTCCCTCCCTGGCTCTGGCTCCTGCCTGTCCAGGGTAGCCCTGTGCAGCCACTCTCAGCCAAGTTCCAAGGCCCTGGAGACACAGGCCCAGCCTTGTCTTCAGCCCCAGTCAGTGCATACCATGGCAGGGTGGATGGCCGGGTTCTGGGGGAAGTCCTATCCTGGGCTCCCCCACCTAGCACCTCTACCCCTCTTTCCCGAAACCTGCCCAGCCCTGCCACCCCAGCCACCGCACCAGGCAGTGCCCGTGGGCAGGCCTGCATCCCCCTCCTGTGACCCAGCTGCCACTCAGTGGCACCCCCAGTGCCCTGAGACCGCCCACCTCCCGGGCCCCTTGGGCTGTCTGCAGGCTCCTGGGGCAGTGGCATCCCTGGAGAGCTTTCCTGGGCAGCTGCGGAAGGGTCAGGACCTGCTTTGAACATCTGCCTGGAAGAACTGGGAAGGCCACAGAACAAGGAAATCAACTAGGAGATGGAAAGACACTCAGGATCTGATTGCTCCGTAAATCCAAGATGGAATATTGCTGAAGCTGAATTTAAGAATTCTCTTGGTTGGCTGGGTAAATACAACGAATTCCTTCCATATGCCCCAGCCAACCTCTTAGAACAAGGCGCTGGGGGTTGGCATCATGGTGTCGGTACCTGCCGTATTAGCATCCTGTGCCAGAGTTCGCTTGCACCCAGCTTGCTGCTGGTGGCCTGGGAGCGCAGTGGAGGACTGCCCAAGTGCCGGGCCCCTGTGCCATGTGGGAGACCCAGCTCGCTGCTGGTGGCCTGGCAGTGCAGTGAAGGACTGCCCAAGTGCCGGGCCCCTGTGCCATGTGGGAGACCCAGCTCGCTGCTGGTGGCCTGGCAGTGCAGTGAAGGACTGCCCAAGTGCCGGGCCCCTGTGCCATGTGGGAGACCCAGCTCGCTGCTGGTGGCCTGGCAGTGCAGTGGAGGACTGCCCAAGTGCCGGGCCCCTGTGCCATGTGGGAGACCCAGGCTCCTCACTTGGGCCCTGGCTGTTGGAGTGAATCAATGGAGGAAAGACCTCTTTTACTTTATGTCACTTTTTTAGATTATATGTATCAAAGGTGCCCCCTTTGCAGTAGCAGCAACACAGAAACTGGGGGGAGAAACTGCCAAGCAACAGGGGGAGCCCACAGGCTCCTCCTGGGCTGAAGTCCTTGGCCTTGAGCTCTGCCCGCCCGTCATTCAGACTGGCCAGGAGCGCTCACCTCTCCCAGCGCCTTTACACACTGTCCTCTTTGCCCCAGCAGCCTCGGCCCCACCTTCTCCAGCTGCTCGCCTAACCGAAGCTGCTCCTTCTCCAAGACGTCCTCCTCCGGCTGTCAGCCCCTCCTGCTCTGGGCGGGTCCTAGCTACGCGGGCACACCCCCCATGAGGGAGTGACAATTACAGGGTCCAGGTTGCGTCTGCCCTTTGCCCAGCAGCCCCCAGGGCAGGGAGTGGAGTAGAAGCTGCTGGGTTCCCAGGCAGGGCTGGCACTGGCCAAGTGTCCAAGGGAAATTCCGAGAGAGGAGTGTGGGCTTGCAGTCAGGGGTCTGTGTCTCCCTGGGGACCCCAGAGGGTGTGCGGGGTGGGCTGCTGTCTCCATGTGCCTATATGTGCTACGTGCCCGCGCACCCTTGCTCTGCTCCGCCAGCCTGACTCTCAGCCGAAGCCACCTGCTCTCCAGTCCCACCCTGTGTGCTCCTCCCCACCTGCCTGGAACGTACCTGTAAAATGAAGAAGCAGATCTGGGCCCGGACAGGGGCCCTGTGAGGGCCTGGGCTCTGGGGCCTCCGGAGCAGCCGAGTGAGTGACCAGCAGCTGGGACTTCCCAGCTGTGGTCATCGCTGCTGGACCCTCCGGCCCCACCCCAGCCCCGCCTTGGCCCCGCCCCTAGCCCCATCCATGGCTTTCACTTTCTACAAAGTTCCTGCCCCCTTTCATTCCATAAGTAAGTAACCTTTGAGCCCTGGCAGCTTGGGCTCAGGGAACAAGGAAGACGACCAGAGCGGACAGCCAGAGTGGCTCTTGGTGGTGGGGGGTGATGCTGAGGCCAGCCCCTTGGAGCCCAAGGGCCTCCCTCTGGCCAGGGCCTCCAGCACCCCTTGGCAGCTCGACCCAGTCTTGGAGTGAGGGCCTGGGCAGGCGGACAGCTGGGAGCTGTTTGCTCTTTCCCACAGCACAGGGAGTTAGGAAGAGAGAGGGACCCCTAGGAACAGGCAGGGCGCACTGGGGGTCTTGTAGGGGACAGTTCTGGAATGAAGATGCAGTGGGAAGCCTGCTGAGAGGGAGCGCAGCCCGAAGGGGGCAGGGGATCCCTCCACGGACATTCTGTCGCCAGCATCCTAGGAAAGAAACCCAGGGAAACTCCAAGGGGAACAGATCCAGGCCTGTCCCACGCTGGCCTGGCTGGCGCCTGCACAGAGGGATGGGAGGCATGGGGAGGCAGGGGGAAGACGGGGAGGCAGAGGGAGGAGGGTTGAGGCAGGGGACGGCAAGGAGAGGGGAGAGCAGGGGGAGAGGGGGAGGCAGGGAAGCAGGGGGGTAGGGGAGGCTAAGGGTCCTGGGAAGACACAGGGTGACTCTCCTTACTGGCCCCGGGGCCACCTGCAGCATGTAGTCTATGCCCTACTGGGGCCGGGGCCACTGTGACCAAAAGCTGTGGCCTCTGACCTCGACCTCGAGGAGAGGAGTCAATTACCCCCTGGCCGCTCCCCAGGCACAAGTCTGGAACCAGGCTGGGGTGGGTTCCTTCTGAGGCCTCTCTCTGGACCTGCCCCATGGCCCTCCTGAGAGTGTGTGAGTGTGTGTGAGGGAGGGAGTGTGTGTGAATGTGTGGGAGTGAGTGTGTGTGAGGGAGTGAGTGTGTGTGTGTGAATGTGTGTGAGGGAGGGAGTGTGTGTGTGAATGTGTGTGAGGGAGTGAGTGTGTGTGAGGGAGGGAGTGTGTGTGTGAATGTGTGTGAGGGAGTGAGTGTGTGTGAGGGAGTGAGTGTGTGTGTGTGAATGTGTGTGAGGGAGGGAGTGTGTGTGTGAATGTGTGTGAGGGAGGGAGTGTGTGTGTGAATGTGTGTGAGGGAGTGAGTGTGTGTGAGGGAGTGAGTGTGTGTGTGTGAATGTGTGTGAGGGAGGGAGTGTGTGTGTGAGTGTGTGTGTGAGGGAGGGAGTGTGTGTGAGTGTGTGTGAGGGAGGGAGTGTGTGAATGTGTGTGAGGGAGAGAGTGTGTGTGAGGGAGGGAGTGTGTGTGTGAATGTGTGTGAATGAGTGTGTGTGAGGGTGTGTGTGTGTGAATGTGTGTGTGTGAATGTGTGTGAGGGAGTGAGTGTGTGTGAAGGAGGGAGTGTGTGTGAGGGAGGGAGTGTGTGTGTGAATGTGTGTAAATGAGTGTGTGTGAGGGAGTGTGTGTGTGAATGTGTGTGTGTGAATGTGTGTGAGGGAGTGAGTGTGTGTGAGGGAGTGAGTGTGTGTGAGGGAGGGAGTGTGTGTGTGAATGTGTGTGAATGAGTGTGTGTGAGGGAGTGAGTGTGTGTGTGAATGTGTGTGAATGAGTGTGTGTGAGGGAGTGAGTGTGTGTGTGAATGTGTGTGAATGAGTGTGTGTGAGGGAGTGAGTGTGTGTGAGGGAGGGAGTGTGTGTGTGAATGTGTGTGAATGAGTGTGTGTGAGGGAGTGAGTGTGTGTGTGTGAATGTGTGTGAGGGAGGGAGTGAGTGTGTGAGGGAGTGAGTGAGTGTGTGAGTGAGTGTGTGTGTGTGAGAGAGTGAGTGTGTGTGAGTGAGTCTGACCCCCTTCCTATTGGGTTAGGGTCCACTGAAGTCCTTTCCTGTGCTTGCTGCCACTTTACCACGACGTCACCTTCTGAAAGGGGTTTCAGGCATGGAGCCACAAATGCTGAGGGCACAGAATTCCGTGTGTGACACACTGGAAGGTACTGGAAATGCCCTCTGCAGCTGGGCCGCACCCCTCCTCCGGGAAGCGAAGCCCTCGGTTCTGGAAGTCCAGTTCAGGGGCCTCGTGTTGCAGCGGGTTAAGCTCTGCCTGCAGTGCCAGCATCCCATATCATGGCACCGGGTCCAGACTCAGCTGCACCGCTTCAGGTCCGGCTCCCTGCTGACGTGCCTGGGAGGGTAGCAGAGGCCCTGGAGACTTCCGGCTCCTGGCCTCAGATTGTCCCAGCCTGGTCCTCGGGGAGAGTGAACTGGCAGATAGAAAGATCTCTGGGTTAACTCTGCCTTCCAAATAAATAAAGGAATCTTTAAAATAAACGAGAGTTCAGTTCACACACCAAGGGGTGCCCAGCCGGCCAGGGGGCCTTTCCTATCATTGAGGCTGGCCTCCAGTGTTCCCAGCAGAGTCCAGGGGACATGAGCGGGAAGCAGCAACGCCCAGGACCCAGGGCCAGGGTCCAGCGTGGGCCCTGGGGCTTGGTGAGCTGCCCTTAGCCACACAGCTGTGGGGGAATGGCTCAGGGCCTGGCTTTCCCGGAGCCAGGCTGTGGGATGTGGGTCTGAGTTCCTGTTCCCAGTTAGCCCGTCATTCTCTGTAAATAGCGCCGTCACACCCGGGGGCAGAAAGGCTGCCAGGCAACCCCTGCACCTGCGCCTTGCCTTCTGCCATGATTTTGGGGGGCTACCTGCAGGTTTTGTCCCTCCTGACCAGCCCCAGGGCCAGCAGGCCACGACACGCCCTGGTGGCCAGTTCAGTGACTTCGCAGCCTTAGGGGTTATTCAGTCCCCCCCTCCAGCAGGCGTGGGGAGTGGGCTGCTGAGACACGAAGACCTTCGTGTTGGTTGAGGGCTGCGGCCCGGCAGACCCCTGAGAAGGTGAGGAGGGGAGGGTGAAGCGGGCCAGGAGCAGGAGTACCCTCCACCCACGTGCGCCAGGGTGGAGGATGTGGAGCAGAACTGGGGCCTCTCAGCAGCTCCCCAGGGGCAGTCCTCTATTTATTTTAAAGATTCCTTTATTTATTTGGAAGGCAGAGTTAACACAGAGCTCTTTCTGTCTGCAGTCCTAGCCCAGGGTGCTGGCTGGCAAAGCTTTGCCATCGGGATGGGAAGAGGCCAGGAGCGCTCTGGGACTTACAGTTGAATTTGTCTCCCACCCCCTCCGGGTGTGCCCTCTCCTCATTTTTCAGGGGCCTCTAGAACTCTCCACAGGGGGTCCCATTGCCCAGCCTGAATGACTGGAGCAGGAAGGAAGTCAAGGCCAGATCACGCCTGTCTGCTCCCCAGCCGTGTGTGCACAGACATACGTGTGTGTGTGTGTGTGTGCCTGCACACACAGGCCTCCCCAAGATGAGCTGCAGCTCCTCCTTGTGCCCCGGGCCTGGGGTCTTCCCTGCTGCTCCCCGCCCCCTGGCCACCACCAGCACAGAGGGGGCATTCTGTTGCCATGGCAACCTGCTGTTCTTTGTTTCTGCCTCCCATTTAATGCCTTTGCAGGATGGAGGTCACTGGCCACACTGGGAGGTTTCTCCCCTTTGTGGGCTGGTCCACTGCTTAGCACCCGAGGCCTGCCTGCCTGCCCCAGCACCTGGGGCCTGCCTGTCCCAGCACCCAGGGCCTGCCTGCCTGTCCTGGCACCTGGGGCTTGACTGCTTGTCCCAGCACCCGGGGCCTGCCTGCCTGTCCCGGCACCCGGGGCCTGCCTGCCTGTCCTGGCACCTGGGGCCTGCCTGTCCTAGCACCCGGGACCTGCCTGTCCTGGCACCCAGGGCCTGCCTGCCTGTCCTGGCACCTGGGGCCTGCCTGTATGCCTATCCCAGCATGGTGTCTTTGCCCAGCCAGGCAGGTCTCCCTCTCTGTGGCTGCAGGGTACATGGCCACCTCCCACCATGGCCCTAGCCAAGGCCTCTCAGAACCCAGGACCACAAATAAGACTGGGTGGCCCACTGGGCGTCCGAGGGCAGCAGAGCAGGCAGCCCCCTGGCCCCCAGCCTGGGCTGATCCCCCGTCTCCCTTTGCCAGTTCAGGGCTTCCTTCCCGATATCTGGATGCTGGACGTCCTCCTGCGTGCTGGTCTCCTACCTTCCGCTGGAAGCCCCCTTGACCCCTCCCCAGGCCCCATCCAGGCTCAAAGCGTGGATGGGAGAGACCCAGGCAGTTCCCAGACCTGTTCCCCCAGTCAGGCTGCTGGAGCTCTACAGGTCTTTGTACCAAGCAACAAGCAACTGCACCTGCCACCGCAGTGGGTGTGCTAAGGCCAGCAGTGAGGCAAGGCAGGCCCCAGGTCATGGGCCCCTGGGACCCCAACCATGTGCCTTCCCTACAAGTCCTGCAACCCCCTCAGCAGGGGAGGCTGTAGAACTGTAGGCTGGGGGTGCTCACGTTGGGGCCACTTCCACCACCTGCAAAGACGGGGACAGGTGGTCACAGCTGGTGCTGGATCCTACCTGCCACCCCAGGCTCCAGGCTTGTCCCTTTGAACGGCTGCTCTTTGGGGACAACTCCCCTCCGCCTAGTTCAGCTGAGGTCCCCTGAGGCCCAGGGAGGCCAGAGAGGGGCACACCCTGCAGGGGGCTGTGGGCAGCCAGGCCACACCCACCTGGCCCTCCACCGCCCCCATCCAGTACAGAAGCGAAAACTGAGCTAAAGCACAGGGCAGCCAGGCCAGAGACGGGAGTGAACTCAGAGCCCCAGACAGCGGAAAACCAGTGGCCACTGAAAACAGGGCAGGAGGGCCAAGGGCTGGAGAGGGGCGTACCCAGAGAGGAAGAAGCATGCTGCAGGGTGACTGGGCCGTCACCTGGAGCCAGCCAAGGGTGGGTAGAGAGCACATCTCCACCAGTGCCAGG